TGGATATTGGCCGGGATACATCATCGGCTGTTGCTGATATTGCTGACCGGGTGTCTGGAATCCCGGTTGTATGTAGTTCACCGGCTGTTGGGCGGCCGGGTATGTGTTGGATGGGTGCGGTGGTGAAAGATTGAGGTTTAGATCCACCGTTTGACCTTGCTGTTGGGTTGCGTGGTGGTCGGATGAGCTCGCTGCATCCGCCTGGTCGTCAGCGAAGTTGTTGTATGCCAACGGAAACATTGTTGATGAGAGACCGGGTGCTCGTCAAGACGTTTGCTTTCTCGCACGGGTCCCCACGGACGGCGCCAAAATGATACTGCTAATTACCACGTCAGCAATAATTAAGCAAATATGAGACCAATTAAAGCAAGTAAATATCTTTATTGATCACGGTGAAGGCCCTAAGTACAATCTACTTGGTTGCTCTGAGTACCGACTGACTGCGGTCGGGATTCTCTAACAACAACCTATCGATCGTCCAAAAGTCCCCCACACTGTAGCTATCGTGGGTATTTATAGCCGCTGCGCCGGAGACACAAATCCGGTCGTTCGGCATGCTCTCCACGTAGCCACCACGTGTCATCCTCCCGGGCGCCCTGTCTGTCGTCGCAAGGAGCCGCCACGTGTCCTTTGTCAGCTCTCTCGCCCAAGGGCTACCGCTCGGTGGTTGACCCTGCCGCTCGGGCAACTCCCGGTCGGGGTCCGACCGGGTTATTCACAAGAAACCCGACCTGTTACCTACAAAAACAAGGAGAAAAGGACGAAGGCACGCCGGTCGGGGCAAAGCTATGTCGGTCGGGATATTCCCTACCATATATGTAATTTCATGGTCCATCGTCAGTTTTTTAAGGTTCCGGTTGCATTTCCAGACCGCACTGTTACATTCGAATCCATTGCCGAAAGCGATCTACCAAATTCGGTCGCCTTTCTTCATCCTCCCTTTGGATTCAATGTAGTTGAGTTCGTACCAGAGCGAAGAAGACGGTGTTTCCGAACCGGTGCAACGTCATCCTGGAGGCCTCCACGTGCTCCGACGAGAGCTGAAGGTTCTTCTGGAGATCGTCGATCACGGTCAACAAACGGTCAAGTAGATGGAGGACCAAATCATGTCAAAATTGCAAAGTTAAGGACTTTATTGGTTGAAATTAAAAGTCGATGACCAATTTGTGAATTTAGCTATAGTTGAGGGACCATTTTGGATATTTTCTCTTATTAATATTCGTGCACCTAGGTACACTTAATGATAACGTTAGGTGCAACTAATTATAATATTAGGTTCACTTAATATTGATGCTCAATGTACATTTTACTTGCACTTGTAATACATTTTACTTGCAATTAGGTGCACTATATGAAATTGTTACATACACTTGTAATCTATTTTACTTGCATTTCGATGTTCAATTATTTACGAAAATATCACCGTGTTTTTTAAAAAAATCAGTGTTTCTGATCCATTAGATCTAGACACGTGGACGGATATCATGCGTTCTGATTTCTCCTAGGCGAGTGGTTCTCACCTGAACGCGATATATATATATATATATATATATATATATATATATATATATATATATATATATATATATATATATATATATATATATATATATGAGTTCTCGTGCGGTTGAAGGTGTCAGGTACGATTGTGCGGTTAAATTTGAGCCATTGATTTTGCTTAAATCAACGTCCAAGATTAACAAATTTTTTAAAAAAAAAAATACGGTGACAATTTGGTAATTTTTGCATCTAGGTCAAATTTAAGGTTTGTGGTTTGGTCGCTTAAGGTGCGTGGTTTGTGTGCTTAAGGTGAGTAGTTGTTGAAACTTAAGGTGCGTGGTTTTTATTCTTAAGATTCGTGATTTGTATGTTTATGGTGCGTGAATTATGGAAACTTAATGTGCTTCATTTTAAACCCGTGGTTTGTGTTCATAAGGTGCGTGGTTTGTGTACTTAAGGTGCGTTGGCCTAAAGCTTTAGGTGCGTGTGGTTTAATTTGTGTTCTTAAGGTGATTTGTTTGTGTGCTTAAGGTGCGTGATTTTTGTACTTAAGGTGTACCATTTTAATGCTTAAGATGCGTCAACCGCACAGAAAGTTATACCCGCATCTGAACCCTTCATATATATATATATATATATATATATATATTTATTTATTTATGAGAAAAGGGTCAAATAGACCCCTAAACATTACCCTAAAGGTCAATTAGCCCCCTAAACTTTAAAAAAGGTCAATTAAACACTCAAACATGCTAAATTTGGTCAATGAAGTCCAAAAACCGGTAAATGACCTGTTTTTACCGGTCATTTTAATTCCGGCGACGAAATCCGGCCACCGGCGAATTTTCTGGCCGTCCGGTCGTCTTCCACCGGAGAAGACGACCGGACGGCCGCTTCTCCAATGGAGAAGGCGGCAGGCGGCCGTCTGCCGCCTTCTCCAGTGGAGAAGACGACCAGATCTGGTCGTCTTCTCTAATGGAGAAGACGGCCGTCTGGTCGTCTTCTCTAATGGAGAAGACGACCAGATCTGGTCGTCTTCTCCACTGGAGAAGGCGGCAGACGGCCGCCTGCCGCCTTCTCCATTGGAGAAGGCTGGAGAAGGCGGCCGTCCGGTCGTCTTCTCCGGTGGAAGACGACCGGACGGCCGGAAAATTAATTCGCCGGCCGCCGGAAAAATTCGCCGGTGGCCGGAATCCGTCACCGGTGGCCGAATTTCGTCGCCGGAATTAAAATGACCGGTAAAAACAGGCCATTTATCAGTTTTTGAGCTTCATTGACCAAATTTAGCATGTTTGAGTGTTTAATTGACCTTTTATAAAGTTTAGGGGGCTAATTGATCTTTAGGGTAATGTTTAGGGGTCTATTTGACCCTTTTCTCTTTATTTATTTATTTATATGTATGTATGTATGTATGTACATATGTATGTACGTATGTATGTGCGAGATGCTCTAACTATGAACATTATACCAGATAAGTTGAATTAGGCTAGACGACAATATTCTTCTCCCAAAGAATACCATATTCTATTAATATTATTAGAATTGTTTTTTTTTTTTTTGGGTTCCTCAGTTATACAATAATTGTAGAATTTGTCTCTAATTGTTGGTCATACTCACTTTTTGTCCCTACGTTATCATTGGCGTTGTAGTTTTCATCCCTTTACAACAAAACATTAGGGACGAAATTTACAATTTTAGTATAACTTATGGACAAAAAGTGAGCACGACTACTACTTAGAGACAAATTCTTCATCATCATCCAATTTGTCTTCTCCAACAAATTATAACCACGATTTGGTTCAAACCGAACAGACAACATAGCAACCAAACAGAAAGGTTATGATGACAATTTAGAACCGGAACCTGATATTTAGAGTTTATTAAAATCGCGAATCAAAACTATTAGTTCATGTTCTGAATTGAAAAAAATAAAATACATCAACTGTTGAATTTAGAATATTTTAAAAATAAAAAATAAAATTTTAAATGAAAGTTTGAACCAGCAGTTCAAATTGGATATGAAACCGTGAACCGACAGTTCAAAATAAAATCCAAATCGCGGTTATATATATAATATACTTATATGTGAGAATAAGAATAAATGCGAAAATGAACATACACTATTTGCAAATATTATAATTCTAATTTTAAGCTAATGCTAGTAGTTGTTCTGATTCGAACTTTCGGTTCACGGTTCACAGTTCACAGTTCAGGATCCAGTTTTTTCAGTTCAAGATTTTAATAAACTGAAACCTAAATATTGAGTTCTGATTCTAAATCATAACTGACAAATTTCGATTTGATTGCTATAGTGTCCGGTTCAGTTCGAATCGAACTGTGGTGATACCTTCGTATAACTAATAATTTTTTTTAAAGATAGAAATATCCATTTAATATATTAGGGGAAAAATCGCCACTTTTATAATAATTGAAGGGCTAATATGAATATATGAATAATTCAGAAAAAAAAATCCTATAAATATATAATTCATGACAAAAAAGTATCATTTCACTTTAAGTTAATGAAGTCTTTATTTGGTTTTAAAAAAAAAAAAGAAAAAAATGATACTTTTCCCCTGAGTTATATACTTATAGCACTTTTTCTCCATGAATTATTCATATAAGCACATTAGCCCCCTTAATTATTTTAAAAGTGGCAATTTCTCCCCTGATATATTAAATTGACATTTATACCCTTAAAATAAACATTTTATTTATTTTTCTTCTCCAATAAATTATTGCGTATACGTATGGATGACCACGGTTCGATTCGAATTGAACAGGACACTATAGCAATCGAATTAAAAGTTTCCGATTATGATTCAGATCCAGAATCCAATATTTGGATTTTAGTTTATTAAAAATTATGAATCGAAAAAAACTGGATCCTGAACCGTGAACTGGCGGTTCAGGATCCGGTTCGCGATTTTGAACCGTCTCTATTTTAAAATTTTATTTTTTGTTTTAAAATAATCTAAATTCAACAATAAATATATTTTTTTTCAGTTCGGAACATGAACCGGCCGCCCGAGTTTGCGATTTTAATAAATTCTAAATATCGGGTTTCGATTCTAAATTGTAATTAGAATATTTCGGTTTGGTTGCTATAGTGTTTGTTTGGTTTGAAGCAAATTGTGGTCATAATTTGTTGAAGAAGAAAAATAAATGAAATATTTATTTTAAGGGTAAATACGTCCATTTAACAATTCAAAGGGAAAAACAGCCGCTTGAATAACTCAAGGGAAAAAATACTAAAAGTATATAACTTAGGGGAAAAAATGTCATTTAAAAAAAAAAAAAAGAACAGTACCATTGTCGTATTCAACTTGCACAAGCCACATGTCCATCGTACACGGATCGCCAAATCCCCCAGTTCACAGCCGCAGATTAGTCCCAATCAAACGGTGGAAAGTCATCCTCACCTCCCCTAGGCAAGCTATCCTATATACTCCGTATATCTTAACTTGAATTATATTATATAATCTGTTTGATTGGACAAACTTGAATCCGTGGCCGTGAGTTGTTTGCCCGTGAAATGGAGGTTAGCGGTGGGAAAGTGAAAAAAGGAGGCGGAGGAAGAAGGGGCGGCGGACCCAAGAAGAAGCCGGTTTCCCGGTCGGTCAAAGCCGGCCTTCAATTTCCGGTCGGCAGAATCGGCCGATACTTGATAAAAGCTGAGGTAAACACTAATAATTTTCTTGCTTAAACCCTGTTAGGGTTGGGTGGTATACTGAAATTGTGAATACTTTGAACATTTTTTTCATTTACTTACTTTAATTATGGTTTATAATAGTTTGATAGAGCAAAAAAACTATTGGCACAAGATGCCGATGCCAAATTTAAAAAAAGGCTTTAAATTTGATGTGTACTTTGTGTAGCCTATTGTTAAAGACTTGAAGAAATTTAGAGCTACCTCAAGTAGAGAACCAAGTATTGCAAGTCGAAAGCAAAATTCTGACATTGAAGAACCAGAGTTACAAGTTGATAGAGCTGATGAATCAATAGGTTCATCGTCTTTTTGTCCTAATTTAGACGATAATTTCAAAACTCAGGGCTTGTGCAATGAACATCTTATCGAGTGTAAGAAGGAAAAAGAGAAGCAAGAATTTACAAAATGTCATGAATATTTTACAAAAATCACAGCACATAATGAAAAGATCGCAGAAATGTTTGAACAAAGTCAACTCCAAAAATATTATGAGCTTCAATTGATAAAAGCTCAAAATGAAGCAAAGCAACTAGAGGTGATGGAACTCCAAGAAGATAACAAAATTATGAGCATAGATGCAGATTCCATCACAGATTCAATAAGGCGTGAGTGGGTCAGAAATACACAACTAAGAATTCTTGCAAAGAGAGTTCGTCGATCATTTGAAGGAGTAGAATTAAGTAGCTAGTTTAATCAATATTTTGATAACTTGGGAAGAAATGTGAATTACCTTATAGATTATTGAATTTAAGTATGTTTAAAGTAATTTTAGATGTAATTTGCTTTAATTTTGTTAAAATTATGCTGTATGTAGTTTTATTTTTAATTAATCTATGTTCAATATTAGTTTTGTTTTATGATAAACTAATGACTATAAGTAATCTATCTTCAATTAAACATTAATATTTTTAAACTAATGACATAATAAAAATGACTATAATGACTATAATAAAAATGACTATAATTATTAATAATGGTAAATTTATATTAGACAATTATATATTTTCAAAAAAATATTAGACAATTATATTAATAATTTATTTACAATTATTAATAATTATAGTCATTTTTATTATAGTCATTTAGTTTTAATGTATTTGTATATTTTGTTAAATTTTTAAATATAAATTTTATTAAGAAGATTAAAACAAGATTAATATTGAACATAAATTAATTATAGTCACAATAGTCATTTTTATTATAGTCATTATTGGAGTTTCATTTTTATTATAGTCATTATGTACTTTTGTGTATAGGCTGCAAATACAATGTGTTGAGAACCAGATAGAAATTACTATAATGTCTGAAGCTTCTAAAGGGGGACGTTCTTAAACCTGTGTAATTTACACTTTGAACTTTATATCAGTAATTTGGCAATAATTTATTTGAATGGTTGGTTTAATTCCGTGGTCTTCTTGCAGGGAGAGATTGGTTCATTTTGCCTCACAAGATAGTATAAGAGCTATTCTTACTAAGAAATTATTGAATGTTTATAAAATTATAGCTGTTTAATATTGCAGAATTTTTTTTAAAGAAGGTTCTGAATTTTGAACAATATAATTGTTAGAGTGTATCATAGTACACTCTTGTGTAAAACAACATTCAAATTATGTAACTCATAATTATATACCTATTACAATTTAACATATTATGTACTTGTGTTAATAAATTATGTATATATTATAATTAAAGTATTATGTACCTATAGCTAACATTCAATGGCTTTATATTAACATGTATACCAATTGTATTAGAACTAAGCCAACAATTCCAACAAGAGGACCAACAATTCCAACAAGAGGTTCTCCCATTTAAAAATCCAGAAAATATTTTCTAAAAGATAATTTTAAAAAATACAAAAATGATTCATTTTATGAAAATATTTTTATTTTTTAGTGCCTGGCTAAAAGTTAAAAAACAAAAAACAATTCTTTTGATTTTTGAAAAATAAACTCAAATCAACAAGAATTTTGAATGCCTTCTCCTTTTAAGAGGCTTCTTAGTTCTTATACTCCTCATATTTCAAAAGATGAGAGATTCAAATTCAAAATCAATTCAGTTAACCAAAGATTACAACAATAGAGAGTCCTATAGGAATAGCTAACATAATAATCTCCTACACTATAGGCTAGGAAGAGTCAACTAAATTACCACCACATACATATTAAGCATATAGTATATTAGTATATATTATTATTACTAACACACCCCCTTAAGCACAAGGTTGGAGGAGGACAACATTGAGCTTGTCTCGTAGAATCTGAAAAACGCGGTGTGGGCAACGGCTTGGTGAAGATGTCAGCCAGCTGGTCCTTCGTAGACACAAAGTTAACGATGAAATCCCTCGACGCAACCTTATCCCGGACAAAGTGATAATCATTCTCGACATACTTAGTCCGTGCATGAAACACTGGATTAGCAGCTAGGTACGTAACCCCAAGGTTGTCGCACCACATAGTTACCGGATTACCAGATTGGACCCACGATACGAGATTGGACCCCAAGAAACACTGCGTAGCCACTGGTAGATTTCTTGTCAACCGGATAGCCGGCCCAGTCTGAATCGGAAAAAGCATGAATGTCGGAAGAGGATGAAGCCGACAAGCGTAAACCATAGTCCTGTGTGCCTTTGACATACCGTAGAACACGTTTTAGCAGTTCCCAGTGATCATTGGTGGGAGAATACATAAACTGACACAACCTATTTACCTCATAGGAAAGGTCCAGCCGAGTAATAGTCAGGTATTGTAGAGCCCCTGCAATTCGGCGATACTATGTTGGATTGTCAAAATGATTAGTTGATGGAGTGGTTGCCTGTGTGACCGCAGTTAGTGTTGCCAAGGATTTGCACTCAGACATATCTGCCCGGGTCAGAATATCCCCCATATACCGATGCTGAGAAAGGACAAGATCGTCACCCACGGCCAGAGTTTCAATGCCTAGGAAGAAGCTCGGTGTGCCAAGATCCCGAATCTTGAATGTTGTGGAGAGGCGGTGTAGTAATGTGTCAATCAATGCTAGATCATTGCCCATCATAATGATATCATCGACACATACCAGTAAGAACACCCCTTCCCAGCGGTGTAGTGCAAAAGCGACACATCAGTCTTGGACGCCAAAAAACCTGCAGATATTAGGAATTCGTGTAATCGTTTGAACCAGGCTCAGGGCGCTTGTTTTAGCACGTAGAGACACCGCTGAAGGTGACAGACATGATCCAGATGTGTGGGGTCTTCGTACCCAGGCGGTTGTTTCATGTAGACTGTTTCAGATAAGTGCCCACTGAGGAATGCATTGTGAACATCTAGTTGACGTAGGGTCCACTTGTTCGACACTGCAAGAGAAAAATAATATGCGTACCGTAGTTGGTTTGACTACGGGACTAAACATGTCATAGAAATCCTCATCGGCTACTTGGTTGAACCTCTTTGCGACTAGGCGCGCCTTATAGCGCTCAATTGACCCATCGGCTTTGCGTTTGGTGCGGTATACCCATTTGCAGTCGATGATATTCATATGCGGTTCAGCCGGTATTAGCCGCCAGGTGTTTTTATGTAGAAGGGCATTGAATTCTTGATCCATGGCGTCTCGCCATTGCGGGTGGTGCACGGCTTGAGAATAACAAGTGGGGTCGGTAGTTGCATTTAGGGCGTAGAATTGCTCGCCCGTGCCCCGGGTCATGCAACGGGTGCGCATGGTGTGACCGCGTTCTTGGACTTGACCTTGGGTAGTGCAGGTCCTGGCGGTGGTAGCATGTGCCTCTATAGCCAAAGGTGCCGACTCTTGTGCCAAAGGAATCTCCATATTCATAAGTGGGGTTTGAGTATGAACCACTATAGGCCCGGCTCCCCAGGGCGGAGTAGTGGCCTGTTGATGTGATTGAACCTGCAAAGAGGATTGCGCAGCAAATGGAAAAACAGACTCATCAAACTGGACATGACGGTAGATAAAGATTTTTCCCGTGATTAGGTCTATGCAACGGTATCCCCTAAATGAAACAGGATAACCTAGGAAGACACAGGGTGCAGACCGATATTCTATCTTCTGCCGATTGTATGGCCTAAGATAGGGATAACAACGACACCCGAAAACACGAAAAAAAGTGTATGTGGGTGGGGTTTTGTGTAGACGATAGTGTGGGCTTTGAAATTGTATTGTAGATGACGAAAGGCAATTTATTAGGTGAGTGGCTGTTTCAAAGGCATAATCCCAATATTTTAGGGGGGCCGAGCTCCCAGCAAGTAGTGCTAAACCGGTTTCGACAATGTGTCTATTCCGACGCTCAACCTGACCATTTTGTTCGTGCGTATAGGCACACGATTGTCTGTGCGTAATGCCAAGGGATTCAAAAACCTTATGGAGACGGCGGTATTCACCCCCTAAATCTTACTGGATGGCTTTGATAGAACGCGAGAACCGGCGTTCTACCATCGCCCGAAATAATTCAAAATTTTATATATGTCTGATTTTAACCGTAAGGGATAAAACCAGCAAAACCGTAAATAATCTTCTACAAACAAAATAAAGTAACGCAAACCAGAAGCAGAAATAATAGGGGACGGACCCCAAATGTCCGTATACAGTAAATCTAAAACATTTTCACTAGAAGTGGGTACTCTATCTAGAGAAAATTGTGCCGATTTACCGAGTTAACACGCCGTACACACTTCTGATGAACTGGTTTTATTTGGAGTGACCAGACAATTTTTAAATACACACTGAAGGACTTGGTTGTGCGGGTGACCCAACCATTGCCACACAACGGATGACGCTTGAGCGCTTAGGAACGCAAAATGAGACAACAGGACCAACAACCTGTATAAGCCGCCCGAGGTAGGCCCCTTAAGAAGAACCGCCTTGGTGGTGCAGTCCTTCACAGTAAAGAAATCTTTATGAAACTCAAAATACACATTATTGTCATTAGTAAAGCGGTGAACCGACAAAAGAGGTAAAATAATTTTGGCACGTGTAATATATTTGACAGATTAAGATTTTTAGACACAGAAGGGATAATTGCATGACCAACACGAGAAACACCCAAACCTGCGCCATTGCCGACTCTGAGTACATCCACGCTGGTATATACGTCCGACTGGCTCGTCATCTTCTTGTCCGGTGTCGCGTGAGACGACGCTCTTGTATCCGGATACCACGCATCTACCGTTGCCGCCGTAGGACTCTCGCCGGAGACAGCCATGTTGGCTTGAACAGAAGGGCGGTCGCTCTACCTCTTGTAACAGTAGACTGCCGTGTGACCATGGGATTGGCAGATCTGGCATCGAGGGAGAGCCGTTGCGACCACGTCCTTGGCCGCCTCTGCCGCGACTGATAAGAGTCTAAAAGTTTATAATTTCACATTGCATTTAAGCTTATTTTCCTTTTTATTTGTTATAATTTTGTCTGAAGTATCCTCATTTGATTCATTTGTGTGCTTATGAGTAATTCTTGATGATTTAGATGAATTGAGTGATTTTTGGGGCATTTCGGATGCATGTAGAGTCAATGGGAGTCAATGAGAAGCTATGAAGATGGAGAAACACCTTTTAGAGAGCCAAATTATGGTGTGTTTATTGGTCTTGGTCATTTAGACAAACAAAGGCAAAAGTGGAGCAAAAGAGCAAGAAGTTGAAATTTCCGCACAAATCGTCCACTGCTCAGTTTTTTGATCATATCTCTGCGTAGGAATGTCCAAACCAAGTGAATTTTATATCATTGGAAAGCTAACTTGAAGGGCTACAACTTTGATTCAAGCACCAAAGGCTAATTCAAAGTTTTTGAGGGTGAAAACTGGCCTAGAAGACGACCTCAATGCACAGGCAGTGCACAC